TAGACAATAAAATATGTGCAATCAACCGTTAGAAAATCAGATTCTCCATGAATCAGTAGGAGACATGAATTGAAAACAGATACTTAAGTAAATGCACAATCGAGAATGAGATCGTCAAAACTGCTCAGTGTATCTTCAATCGATAGATGGAAGAAATCCTGAATCAGTTTAGTAATGAGCAGTGATTCATGGAGAGGAATTCAATGAGAACATCTTCGGAATGAGTTCCCTGACAAAAATATCACTTCAGTAATTCAAAACAAATGACTGAAGCATATTACAAAGTAACGTTCGATAGCATGGCCAATCGGAACGATACTGATGTGTTCTCTTTGTAGTTATGTATCGATAATGGTGAATTTATGTCGTGTTGAAATTCTTATATCGCTCGGATTCCTCTTCCACGGAATCACGTGTCCGGGCTATGCGCACGAGAACGAGTATCAAGGTGTGTGTCATATGAATGTAGTTGCGGCGGTGGTTGGTACTTTCACGGGTTCAGTTGGTTTGGGTGTTGTTCACAGGTGAGTGTTGTTCAAACTAGACGTGTTCTGCAAACTCAATGATGAGATTAAGCGTTGAAACGTAATCACAAACACGGAAACGTTCACACATTGCATCTTTAAAAAACATTAACTACTTAAAATCCNTTTACCAAAACCTTTTCTCCGGCTATTTTCAAGTTTAAAGAAGAGCGATCTTTTGAAAATTATGCATTTGTCTGTGTGACAAATGTAAACAATACAAATGCTTACTGCTGAACGATTGTTCAAAATTTTTGGTGACCAAATTTTTATTATAGATATCGGTGGAAAATGATGCTTGTAATGTGGTTGGTGCTCAATATCATATCGGCTGTCGGTAATCTTCTGTCTGTGATCACTGCAGGAATATGGCTCGACCATCTGAGTAAAATGAAAACGCGAACTGGTCTTGTGAACGGTCTCTCTGGAATGATGCTTCTTGCATCTGTTGCTGTTGGTAAGCAATTTCAATGCTGATGCTTTTTAAATCAATGATGAAGTTAATTACAGATAAATCGATGAATTAATTATGTTACAGGCGTTTGTTACATCTTAACGTCAGTGCTGTTATGTCACTTTTGGGTATCAAACTCGCCAAAGTATCAAGCTGTTGGGAAAGTTTCGGTATGCTCATATGATCGTTTTGCTGAACTTCCTGTCGCTCTCATGTTTCTCTGAGCAAACGACTATCGCATCATTACTGATGCATTTCGCTTGTTCCCTCAAAGGGGCTTACTGAGAATTGCAAAGTTCGGAAAGAGAATTTCCCTCTAACCGCATATTGTTAGTCCAATGATACGAAGGAAATCTATGATATCAACCGCTAGAAAATCAACTTTCATGAAGAAACACTAAACAGGAAGACATCAGTTTTAAACCAGGAAGCTTTTGTGCTCCTTGAATTTTGACCTAGACGGCTCTTAAGTCAGCATTTCGAAGTTATAATTTCAAGGTTTTCAACTTCAAGTTACCATTTCAAAGCTTCAGATTCTAGTTTTCAAGGCTTTGAAACGTGGAATGATGTGCTTTCAGAAACGCTCGCGATCTCTGCGACGTCGTGCATCTCGTCCGAGTAGTGGTACCGAGAGACGTTCGAAGAACGACAAATATTCTCGAACTTTTAATGTTTAACAATACCAATTCGGGTGAATACAATAGCATGTGTATTAAGGTGCGTATGAGTGAATGAACTCGTTTTTAGTAGTGTATTTTGCTCTTTGAAATATGTGTTTGTCTATATATGATCTCAAGTGCAACTCAAAATTCTTTTAGAACACGAAAAATCATACTGTGATGTTGTTCATTGATTGATGTTCTTCGGTGAATACCCATTTTGCATCATTGCGTTTATTTTCCACAATGAATCGGAACAATTCATTGAGTTTTATTATCACTCGAACTGTTTGTAAAATCGTATTGCCGAATTAATATAGGATAGCGAGGTGATCGATTCATGACATTTTTTCATAAGTTCATGAAAACACTCCGTGAAATGACAGCTGACTCTAACACTTTATAATTACACTCTTTTAATCGGTCGTATTTTTCAAGTGTGAAATAGTTTCAACAGAGATTAAACCCAAAGGTTACAAATTGGTTCGCAAAAGCGAGCGAACACAGTTGATCGATTTTAGGGTCAAATCAAACTGGTGAACAATATTTTTGTGTTAGGTAATAACTTTTTTATTCGATCGCATGTTCTGTTGTAAGATGAGAAACGAATAAAACGAAAATTTAAAAACGTAATGCAGTATAACGCATAAAAGTGGAATTATGTATCGAAATGCACAGTTCAATTCCACACGTTTCATTACCTTCGGAAACGATGACTGAAAAACCGGAATACATACGAATGTTACGAATTACGCGTATTTCTTGAACAAAAAACATCAAATTGCAATGTGAACAAAAATCAAAGTACGAGCGCGATTGATCAGCAGTCAAATTATTGGAATCGCTTGAGCGCAATTATTGAAACTAGATGGAAATCACTTGAATTTTGTCAATATATCAAGATGACTAAGCAGAAAGGAGTGTCAATGCCACCGAATAGCTTTAGATGACCTCCTCGATAACCATTTTCATCTCGTACAACACAAAAGCATTTGCTTCTTCAGTGGTGACAGAAAGGCGATAAAATGGAAACGATGATAGTATACAACAGGCGTAAACCTAAGGGAGATAAGATTTCGAAAGTTAATGTTCGAAAACTTCGGAACAGTTTTCCTTTGAGCAAAGATCCGTTCCAGCGATGGTCACGTCAAGATGGCAAATACTTTCGTCTATCATATGGCCATTTTCAACCAAAAAACGGTGCTTTTTGTCCTTTAACAACCCCTTTTTTGAGATAGGAAGTATTTTCGAACTGATATCCTTCTTTGGCGAGTTGTTTCAAAATGGCGCATATATTGAGCACATCATCAATACCGCTGTGCAATTGGCCCTGTAAAGTGCAAGATTTCAGAAATACATTCATATGAAGTTTCGAACGTTGTTCATTAATAATTACCGAGCAAAGAGATAACATTACACTATTTGCTAAATGAATAATCATTCGTAAAAAGAAGCAATACCACATGCGCGATCTGCAGATCGTTTAGCATCTGCATCAACGAATTCGGAAAGTATCCTTTCGCGTCGCAAAACGCCTTCTTCAAGTTTATCCATTCACTAAAGTACCTGCAATTCGAACGTATACGATTGCCAATGAGTAATAGTACCAACAACATTCAGCTTTTAAATAGTGCATACTGTTTAAGGAATTGCATTCATAACTTTTTAAACGATATGACAACTTACGATGGCAACTGCAACTGCCAGAAGTTAGCCTCTGATGGAAGCATTGTACCAAGATCCCAATCACCGCAGGTAACGAACGTCCACGTTTTTTCACCACTCTTTGGATTCACCAGATCTCGCTCGATGAGCCATCGATGGAACTCAGATAAGACATTAGTCACGGGTAATTGGTCGTCAACCATACCCTTAAACGCAGCGATTTGTTGAATTTGGAAATATACGATAAGACGATTCGGGGTGATTACTATTCAACGTTTAATACAATGTTATATAGCTGTTTGATGATATATAATGGGATATTCATTAATACTATTTCATCATTGTCAGAAGTGGTGAGAGCGAGGTAATTCGACAAACTGCGATATGTTCGCAGATTGTTTTCATTGCCGATTTCTGAGTCGCGAGAATTCCATGAAAATTTTTGAACGGAAGCAATTAAAGAACGCACGCACTTGAACAATACCAGTCAAATTCGTACAGAATGGTGTGAGCTGAGGACGTTCAGTTGGACGAACATAGCGATGGAAACGATCAACTTCACTGAAACTTTTACCGCATAATCGAACCACTGGGAACTCGATTATTTCCTGAAATGTGGCTGACGCCTTCTCAAATGAATGAATCTGGCATATAAAAGCATACAAATCAAAACAGATTACGATTGAAACTATTAATTGTTTATTTCAAATTAATTAATTGTACTTGATTTCATTTAAAATTTCCCAAAAAATGATCTTATTAGTGAAGGTTAGGCCATCAAAAGTTGTCGACGATTCGAAGCGAGCATCGTTTGGACAGACCGTTTGTAACATTTCATTTCAGCATGTATAAAGCATACCTGAATAGGTTGAATTTTCGTATATTGTTCACAGGTTGCTTCAAAATCAAGCACAAGAAAGTAATCGAATTTCTGTTGCGCTATCAGATTGCGGCCATCCAACGCCGAGTTACGATCTCTTCTACCAATATTTTCGCAACGTTTCATTCGCTTTGCACTTAGAAATCTTCTTGATGACACCTACATATACCATTTCTCATTACCATTACTATTATTAACACCTCTCATCACCGTACTCCCAAAAAACGTATCGCCAACTCAAATGCTTCATCGTAATACAGTGAAAATCACTCGTTTGAGACCAATTTTTCGAGAAAGCTTCCACAGCGGTACTGTAGTGAAATAGGGAGAATTCGTATATCGAGTGGTTGGACGATCACAAGAAACGAAACCTTTACTTGTACGAACACTTAGTAACAATGAATATCACTTCGTCAAAGGGGTACACTTCCAAAAACAGTCGCAATCTATCGAATGGGTCACAGATTAGTGATGATAAACAAATCCTCGACATCAATACATCGAGTTGCTTAGGGATTAATGATAGCAAACAAGATCTTCAAAATAAATCGATCACTCGAAATGCTCAGGGAATAATGATAATAGACAAAAGGAACAAAGACGAGGCGATGATAAGATATTACGAACAAAATAACATACAATAATTTCAATATATTTCAAAAATAGAATATTCAAGTGATCGTGAATATCCTAATTCACGACAGGTACCAACAAATTTCAATATTAGAAATGATGATGGTCATGAGATATGTCGTGAAGCTCACTTGATTGTGGAGAATTTTTGGAGTTTGAAAATGAGTGCAAATCACTTGGAAAGGTTGACCGATGTTTACTGTCGATGCGAAACGAACAAAAAGCGCCATATCACCTATACATTCGTCAGCATTTCTCTGAAATGAATTTATGCAGCAAATCCAATGAATATAGCTCAGGGTAAGATCGCTATCAGCTAAAATGAATAACAAAATGTGCCATGCAATTTCTAAGTTGTCAATACGGATGCATCACATCGAAGTCACTATACGACAGCATGTGCACTGAACATCTTCTATCATGTTGAATCGCTGAATGTAATATGCTAATGCAAGTGTTCTCCAGAAGATTTGTACACATTACTTTCATTAAAAAATAAACAAATCGATAAGAAGTTTATTCGAAAATCTTCATTTATTGATTTCAATATTATCATTGACTCGTATCGTATCAAAACTATACATATATGTACATACAAATACGTCGATGAATAAAAAATGTTTCGTTGTACAAAATGAAATTTCACGATAAGCTGACCACACTACTGCTCTTCCTTCTCTATGGCTTTGCTTGTACATACATCGCGACATCTGATGTTTTATTCGAACAAAAAAATTCCTTCAAAAAATGAGAAATATGGCAACAAATAAGCATGTAAATGATTAACTGTTCGCTACACTTTTGAAAAAAAAACTAAATACATCATGAGGTTACTATCATTGCTTACGATTTCTGTTTCAGATCAATCTGTTGCTTAATTATTATTACCGAACGAAATCCTCATTTGGAATGAAGCGAACAGAAAACAATACATTTCACCAAAATTATCACACAATAACTTGATAGTTCAACGCCTGCGCTGAACAGATTACCTGCGTTTTCGTAAATGGTCACAATGAACAACAAGAAATACTAATACGAAATGTTAAAATAACATCAAATTTGAGAAGTGTGTCCATTATGAGATATAAGACGTCGAGAGAATTTAATGATATCTTCGACTCGAACACCATGGAACAGGCGAGAATTCCTGAGTGATGGGATACATCCGGTAAGCACTTATGAACAAAAATTGCCGAGTGTTTAAAAGATCAAAGTTGTCAATGAAGAACGCAAGTGAATTTCAAATCCATCGATCAATCAAAATGGGATAACCTTGTTTTGATGCCATCTATTTGGAGCAACGATCATGCTCAAGCATGATGCACTGGATGAGACCGAAAACGACTTTGCTACAGGTTACACTAGCATAATATTCTCCAGAAACAAGGTTTAATGAAAGAATATCAGTGTAATTATGGAAGAAATGCATTCTCATCTGTTGTTCCATCGAACAAAATCGTATCACAGAACCAGTGATTGAATCGAAGGATTATAACTGAAGACAGCGCTGGAAATGACAGATAAAACTGCAAAATACTGAGTTACAAGGAACAAAATGCAAGTCAAAACAAGAAGACAAATATTCGATAGCACATTTTAAAAAACATTTGAAACAAACATTGCGAGATCCATGAGAGTTTTTTTGAACGGCACATTCCGAAGAAGAATGAAAGAAAACGAAGTAAGGGAATCATCAATCATTCTGTAACAAGGCTTCCGTATTTTCAAAATGAATCACAGCTCCGTTCCAGGTGTATATCACTGCACGAAGATGGTAATTATTTCGTGGATGATACTTCTAAGACGATCAATATTCTCATCATCGATCGAAGCGTACGCATCAAGCGTGAAAAAATCACGCCAAATGCATTCTTTATCCAGTTCGCAATACCATCAATTTTGCCTCATTAATTTTCCGCTAAAATTTCGCGAACAATTCATAATACGAAGCCGACAGCAGCAAAAATGTCACGCAAAACGAATCAAAATGGCAAGGAATGATTGAAAAGACATCGAAATCAGAACGAAATTCGTTCCTCCCAACGGACCATGAGCATACCAGTGACGATACATAACATAACGTACACATCCGCTGATAACAAGGTATCACTGATAATAAATGACATATATAATATAATAACACACCATAATACCAGTGAAGTTTCTCAAGTATTGCATTGATCAGTAATGAGGAATAGCCAATATCATCGAACTATAACTCATTTTGATACTGCAGTCAATTATATCCATATTAGCAGAAAGACATCAAACTATGACGGCACAAATCAAGGATAACACTTTACAATATGAATGAACAGTGCACAAACCGTAATATTAGCATACCCTTCAGAGTGGAACGAAATTTTCAAATCTTCGATGATTTTTGATGATTCGGAGAGACAAGAACAATATTGGAACTGGCAGCTTGCGTAGCTCTGAAATTCCAGAGTTTCTACCAGAAAATCATGAACTCATGCAGTTTCGTCACGTAATTTTCTCAAGACTATCAAAAAAATTGATGACTTAACAACACTGATCGAACGGCACTGACTAGAGAAATCAAGAGCATAGAACTGTTATTTTTATCAAGATCACCTCACCACAATAAGATGAAAAAAGGACAAAAGTTGAGGATATAAACGGAATATACCCAAGAAGAAAATTTATGAGGAAAAAGGAGAAAAATTCAAATCAACGAAGAAAAACAATGAACCTGAGTGATATGACGAAACGAACACAGAATAAATTCATGAATATGTTCAGATTAGGCATAAAACATATGAAAACTTCAAAGAACTTCTGTTGGACCGCACAAAACAATAGCACAACCTATAGGGCATCGTAAGTGAATAATCTAAATCGGATTCTCTACTTCCTCATTTTGCATACGAATTTTTCGAGTTCAATGCAGCGTGAATGATAAACGTTTCGACGTTGTGCATCCAACATTAGCAAGAAAGATCAACAGAAAAATTGAACAAAATAATGGAATGTAGAATAGACTCATCAAAACGCAAAACGGAAACAATCAAACACATACGCATCACAAAATAAGTAATAATCAATAAGCAATCGATTCTAAAGAATCTAGTTCTAAGGAACGATTTCAGTCTTCTTCAACTATCAACTTTGGATGTACTGGAAGCAGTAGATTTTGCCGCAGAAAGTACTGAGGTTGATATTGAGAATGCATCGGGTAAATGAGTGGCGTGTGCATATGAAGATCGCAGAATGAGAAGGCTTGTCAGCGAGTCGGTGGGAAGTGTGACATTACTTTGACTTCGATGCTGACAACACGCCGACGGTATCGACAACAGATATCGCGCCAAATGTGCTAAATTCGGAAATTGCGACTGACCGAGAGTCGACCAAAATTGCAGAACATCTCTGAAAAGTTCACGAAAATTGACTGATAAGCAGAAGAATTGTGGCATGAAGGTGTTCTTTTTGTCTTATTTTGCAGAAGGTCATCTGAAAAATTCAAAGACCGGACGAAAAGTGTTACAAAAGTGAGAACTGGAACGAGAGTGAATTGTGACAAACTGAAATGTCTGAAACTGTTAATAGCTTAAGTGATTCTAGTGCTTTGCTTTATTGGCAAGGTATTTAGAAGGCACTCTTACTTCAAGAATTCATTGAACTCAGCGCTTGAACATGAATACCCGTTTGGGTACAACACTAACGAATGTGTATGAGTATGAGCTTGAAACTGAACGGCGCGTCGATGGAATTCAGGTTGAGGACAGCGTACAGTGATTTGACTACTCATAACTGATTACAAGCATACATCTAGTTGATACAAGTTATCAGTCGAACGAACTTAGTTTGTATAGCTGGGAACTGCGAACGGAGATAGCATTCTAATTCATCGTCAATCATCGCGCGATCTTCGAGCGACGACAAGAAGGAGATTCGCTTTCTGGGTGGTTCACCTTCCACTGCTTCTGAATTGTTGCAACTTATTCTTTTAATTCTGTTTATCATCATATATCCATCCAAATGATTTTGAAACAAAAAAAAAACTGCCTCAGGAGAAATTTGCACATTGAATTAGCCTTTGGAAGTTTCCGCCAGGTGATCTCTCTAAACCACTAGAAAGAGACCAAACAATATGGAATATTTCAAAAAAAAAAATTCAGGAGAAAAATTTCAACATTATCCTATCGCTTACCTGACCCAATTGGATCTTCACTTCTCGGTACTATTGCTCTCGTTTCCCATAAGCCAATCATCGAGCGAATTTTTGTATAAGCTTCAATCCTAAAACTGTTGCATCACAGTTCCAATCAAATGAAAACACCACAGGTGTACACAAATGGTACGAGTGAACAATGGTCTGAATTCAGTGATTATTTTCTCGGTCACATTCCCAACAAATATCAAAGAATAGTTGCATTTGAAGCGATAAACCTTTGTAAGTCATTACAAATGACTGGCAAATGTTTTAGACGTGGATTCAACACGGTTGCCATCCGATGTTCAACTGAAATCGTCGAGCTGGTCAGCGAGCGAAGTTTGTCTTCAGTTGCCTTCCGAACGCTCGATAACCATTTCGAAGATGAGCACGATGACTGAGAGGAATTGGCTGAGGATGTTTCAAAATTTGCTGCTGACGAATCTTCGTCTTCACCAGAAAATTCGTGGATCAGTGCAAACCATTCGGGCAGAACCTTGAAATGATTATATCACTTCGGATTAAAGTCACATTTCTTGATCAGACAAACAAATTTAAGGTATATGCAGTGGTTAATTTAAAAATTTCTTGAACTGTGATTAAATTTCACTGAACCGATCGATGCTTACTTGAACCTAACATGAACGAATCAAAACAAGAAACAAACCATATGGTAATTGATCACCGCTTTTTGACTAAAAATTGAAGCCATAACATGAAACGGTTCCAGATACCTGCGGATATCATCCACAAATGACCACTCTATCGGATGGATTAGCGCAATCACATCTGGAAACAGCCGAAAATTTATGGCCACACAGAAATCACTCGACAGCAAATTTCAGTTGTAAAAGTTGATCACTGTCAAGGAATCATGATCATCATGAGTTGATACACGTTTCAAAATTACCTAATCAGGAGCAAAATTCAAAAAAACTGGACTGAGTCACGAGCCTGGACACTGGACAGTCGACGTGTTCTGAATACATTCACGAACGAATTTCAATAACTCATAAACATAGAAGAGGTAGTCAATATGACCACAACGACTCTCACAAATCACTTCTGTCCTTCGCTCGAGTCCCATCTTCTCGAATGTTGCTGAAAATTATTTTGATGATTCTATGGTAAGATGCACTCGGAATAACTATTCAGTATTTCATCTGATCACAACAATCAATATTATGAAAAATACGACGACAATTACGGATATGATAATCATTAATGAGTACGCAAAGATCCTGCTTCTTGAAGAGGTTAAATAAGGTATAGGTGAACAGTTTTGGTATAATGACAACTTCAGTATGTATTGCGAAAGGTACTTCTCGACGATTGCATTATTCGTAAAAAGTTATGTTATTCAAACAATTTCATCACTCAAAGGAGGAAAGTAATCTCTTTTATAAGAAGCACATACACGCCATTTTCTGACAAGACGAAATCACTTCTGCAACATTATGCTTCTCATCAGTGGCATCCGTGAATATCTCATCAACAATCTGAAATACCATCAGAACACATCAGTGAATCAATCCCACAAGTATTGCTGTTTGCTGAGAGTGATAGGCCAATAAGTGATCATTCTCTCCTTATTGCCATTACTATTTGCTTGTCTCTTCCTTTCTAAAAATTTGAAAAGAAACGAAATTTTGAACAGTAATGAGAGCTAACATTGTTGAGTGTTGCACATATGCAAATCGATGTACGTGCCGATGAATCGAAATTGAGCAACGGTTGCTCAGTTACGATCGTTAAATGCAACGCTCCACTTGCACACTCTCCTATTATCTGATCCATGCCATTTTGCAGCTGATCCCGCCTTTCAACGCTTAAAGTATTCTCGTATTCTAGCACAGCTATATCAAAACTATGCTAGTAGTAATTCAGGTCGAAGTTTTGCAAAACCCAAATGCTTTTTCTTCCTCACTGAATTTCTCATGAAAATAATTTGGTCGCATTGAATCGAAACGACTTGCTGAACGCATGTTTAGTTCTTTGGAAGCACTTTGATGACATGTTTCGAAAATCAGAATCTTCAGAAATAAGCTGGAGCTTGCAAACGATCAAGCAACACCTATTCAGATAGCACTCGTCTAAAAAGATTATTCATTCAAAGAATATTATGATACGACGTGATGTGAGCAAATTTCTTTTTGTTCGTTAGCTGCTCTATAGATGAATGTTTTTCTGCATTCATTTTAATCGTTCACTTACGTTGTAAGTGAAGCAGTTAACGGATAAGTCCTCTGTACTGATAAGTATAAGTGGTTAGGAGTTATTGAACTCAATCGACTTATACAACTTATTCTTCATCACACAGCTCATTCTGATGAATATCTTTTACCTAATAATTCGTCGCTTCAACCTCCAATCCGCACCAACATAATTGGCCGACACAACGGCAAGCCGGTCGTCTCCAGTCACTCCTTCCACCGACAACGATAAACCCGTTGCTCGCGCTGTGCAACCTACTTCTAGCTTCAATTCAGACAGCACTGATTTACTGCTGTTATCGATCAACTGCAATTTAAATACAATCACTATTGCAAAGCATCGATAAAAGCATACATTGTTATTATATCATCACCCTTGAAAAAACTGCGAAAAGGGATTTCCCTATATCACATGAAAATTTTTAATACCCGTGAAGTGAAACGAGCATCCACATTGTTCATCGTCATCAATTCACGATTAGTTACCTGTTGCAACGTTAGAGTGTCCGGGATGAGAGTGCTAAGAGACTGCCTGTCAGCCAATCGACATCTCCGGCCTATGGCTATCGCGGTTTCGATTACTGAACGTAGTCCGTCACCCTTTAATGAAGCCGTTCAGATGATCCCTTTTTATACTCATTGAAACGTGAAAATTTTACTGGAATCTGACAGCGTGCCCAATCTCGTGCCCCAACACACTTCGCATGCAAATTTTCACAATTGATCAGATCACGTCGATCCTTCATTGCATTGATTATTTCTTACGTTCTTTTACAATATACAGAAAAGTTCGCATCGTTTTTTATTCGAATTTTTGAGACTAAACTGAAAATTCACCTGAAAAACTACAGGAGGCAGCAGATCGGTGGCACAACATCGGACGACTGCCGCACAGAACAAACGTCGATCAAAATCTGAAAATGGCGGCGATGACTCGAACGAGGATTGCGCCGTTAAGCTGACATGTGATTGTCCTGGGGCGGGAGATTCCTGAAAGTATCTGACGGATCTCCTCTCAATTAACAATGAACATAGTTTCGTGAATTTAGAGACCACATTTAATGCCCCGAACCCGAAAAATGCGCATAGTTGTTGATGCCGAGGACGTCGACCAGATGCAAAACAGCAATACCATAAGAGATGTTTAAAACGATTCGATACAAAACTGTTCGATCATTAAGGGAATTGCTCAGTGCAAAAACGACTGAAATGATGAATAGATCTAGACATCACTATGGAATATCATCTTTTTTTCAAACTGCTGCATAGTTGAACTCAAGTCGAGGAAAGCAAAGGACCACGAACCCTTTGATATCCAGACGCAGCCTCAGGTGAGAGTTGGCCACCGGCAGATACAGCCGTTTCGAACGACTGCTGCGATGAAAGGTCCGGATTGGTTTCAGTTGAGGAACTAAAAATCGAATCAAATTTCACTTAAAACTGGAAAGATCACTTAAAATTCCTAAACGAACCCCACGTCATCATGCTCTCAGTACTAGGTCCAGAGCACATTGAATTCGACTATGATTGAGTGGAATGCATACTCTGCTCCGAAATTATCAGTTCTCGAGAATAGTCTATGTGAAACGAATTGTTCGTTGCTGATACAAATCAACTACTCAATAAGACTGATGAGTATGAATGCTACTACGAAATTCCACTCTTACCCGATACTACTGTCCTTATAGCTGGTGCCAAGTGGGCAACGATGTCGAGTCATATTTCCAGTGCCACCACCAGTATCCGTATAAAGCACCTTGCATGCATAACACGCTACATACGGTAAACGTGCACCAGTTGTCGTATCGAGAACCTGAACACGATGAAACTGCACAATTTAATGAAATGAACCACTTTAGGAAACTACCTTGCAGAAGAGAATGAAACTTTAAAGCAACATCAGCATGTTTATAAGGTGTCAACGCTTATGTTCAATACAGATTCTCAAGCCAATGAATTCACAATAGCATTTCATTCAGTGAGAATATTAAGCAACAAAACATATTCAATCTGCTTTCCATCGCTTCTAATGTAAAATATCGATGAGCTTTGCTTGGAATTTTGCTGAAAGATAGAATTTGTTGGCAAAAACATTCATTTTGCTGATGTGCCCAAATCTCAAAAACATCTCAGGTATTCCCAGATAAAGATTACTGTGATGATGATACTCACTTAATAATAAAAAGAGATTATTTCCGAAGTTTCGANATCTTAGGTATTCCAAGATAAAGATTTCTTCAATACTGTGATGATGATACTCACTTAATAATAAAAAGAGATTATTTCCGAAGTTTCGATGAGAAAGCATATTCCAACAATGACATTTCAATATTACTGAAATGATCCCTGAATCGCAAGTCAAAATAAGATCGAAATCGATCGCAAGTCAAAGCGCAGGATCGATCGAAATTAATACCACAGATCCGAAATATCTCGGATATATAGTGCTCATCTAAGTTTCAAGACTCAAATTCAAGACTGTTACAAGATTCGGAATGTTCTCCTAATAAAATATCAGTCATCCACCTGCCCGAAGAGATTCCAAACTTCCGAACGACCCTTCTTTTTGACGAGTTCGAAACGTCCCAACTTCATGCGGATGTCATCTTGAATCACTGCTTTTGGAGGCATTAGCTGACTATTCAGCGGTAAAGTGACGCCAGTGTCACGAGAACTCGTTGAATTCGTCGATGACGAAGAATCTGTTGAGACCTGGAATTGTCGAGCGAAACATTCCAATCTAGATAGTTTGAGTTAATCAACTGCTCACTGAACTCTACTTTCTCNTCTTTCTGAATTCAATTACAATCTCGCAGAAAGCTGAAAAGTTGAATTGTTCTAATTGCAATGCTGCTGTGATTTGATTTCAACCGCTGAATGCTTGCAGAATGTGCGATTCAGATTCAGAATGAATTTCGCTTATGAATGAAAGGAAACAAGTGAACAACTGAAAGATGCCTTTGCGAATGCTTGATTATTCATTCTGCGAAGCATTACTCATTTCACTCTGCATGCTGGGCAAACACCACACAAATCCATCAAACATATTCAAATCTTTGCTCTATGCAACCCCTAACGAAATTCCCTAGAGCTTTTCATGCTTGTCTCCAAGCACGCACATAGGCTCATGTTCATGAAACGTGAAAACGCAAATGAGCAAGCAACAACAAAAAATGGTTATAGTCTACAGTTGCATTGAGTTGCAACTAACAATAAGTAAGCAAGGCTCAGTTTGCAACAAAGCGACTGTGAATCCTACCTGATGCCTAGCAGAGGAATGTGCTGGCTCAAATAGCGAACTACTGGCCGCATCGTCGGTTAAGATGGCATCGCAACTGCGCACCTGAAAATGTTTTAAGAGTGTCAAAAAACCGATGGAATTTCCTAATTATGAACAGATGGAATCATAACAGTACCCATACGTACATAGCATGATCCCTGCACTAGCAGATTGAAGTAAAAACCAGAAATTTCAAGCTCTGAACACACGTATGTTTTCACAATAGCCGTATCAGTTTGTCTCAGTTTTCTTCAACTGATTGAATGACCTGTCTATCCTAGTCAATCTCCGGAACATAAAGAGAATATTTAAGACTGATACGAATGAATAATGAATGAATGGAATGGCTTGATTGCTGCTTCTTTCCAGCGTCGATACATCTCAAAAAGAATTTCCGATGAGGTTTCCTTGATGAAACTTTTCAAGGTACGTCTTTGATGCGAACAGAAATCCATTAAGACCCTCAGAACAG